AATCCCAGCTTCCTAACTTTACAAACACCAAAGTTATGGCATTTCCGATCAATCAGATATATGGCAGCTATAGGATATAGTCGGCCGATCCTTATGAAATTTGGTAGGTCGGATTGATTTGCTCAAATATAACACCCATATAAAATCCCAACTTCCTAACTTTACAAACACCAAAGTTATGGCATTTCCGATCGTTCAGTTATATGGCAGCTATAGGATATAGTCGGCCGATCCCGGCCGTTCCGACTTATATACTGCGTGCAAAGGAAAGAAGGGTGTGTGCAAAGTTTCAATTCGATAGCTTTAAAACTGAGAGACTAGTTTGCGTAGAAACAGACAGACGGACAGACGGACAGACAGACGGACAGACGGACATGGCTATATCAACTCAGGAGGTGATCCTGATCAAGAATATATATACTTTATAGGGTCGGAGATGTCTCCTTCACTGCGTTGCACACTTTTGACCAAAATTATAATACCCTCTGCAAGGGTATAAAGATATTTTGCCACCGGTTTCTAAAATAACAACTCAAAGTTCTCTCCGTGTTCCTTGGACTTCTTTAATTTGCTTGCACAGGGCGGACATTTTGGAACGTGTCAGTGTGATGGCGGTAAAAAACTAAATTAGAATAATCATCTAATACATAAATTAATATGGGCCACAGGAGTAACCCAATGATCGCGTCTAGTAGACGGCATTCCGGTAGCTCTCGACAAACTTTTGGATTAGTCCCGGCAACTCAGGCGCCCGGCAGAGGTATTTGTGTCCGTATTTTAGGCTTGCTCCAAATCGGTGGAACTCCACGGGTCCCCAGGAGCGATTTCTGCCATCCAACGCGATCCTATATAGACGGTAGCCTAGGTGAAACGGCACCACAACATCGTCCTCCGCATGAATGATCATAATCGGTTGCCGGAACTCTTGGACATGAACATCCGACTCGAATCTCAGCTTGTTGCTGTACATGGGCCTTGAGATGGTGAAATCGAACCAAGGCAGGTGCCTGAAGAGCTTGGCGAAGGGATGCAGAAGTATCTCATCCCGGATGTTTGTGAACGGGCTTTCGAGGATCACTCCCCTGGGAGCCCTCTCTCTTAAACTGGCTAGCTTAGCGCACAGGTGCGTGGCTACTCCGGTACCCAGGGAATGACCCCACACCACGATCGGATTTGAGGTGATGTTGGCTATATATTCAAAGACCATCATGGCGTCCCGCACAACGCCTTCTTCTGTGGGTGGCACAGCATCGGAATCCGCATAGCCTCTGTAATCGAAGGAGAACACATGGTAGTTGAGCTTCCTCAGCAGTTTATACACCTCCGATCGGTGACCACTGCCTCGGCTAGCTGTGTTCCCATGGAGATAGAGGACCACTGTGCCACCTGGCATCCGCAGCAATCGCTCGTAGAAGAGCTGCTCGTTTTCTGGCACCACGGCGGGAAATTCAGAGCGAATGGCCGGCGCCAACTCCTTCAACTCCTGTTCGTTGCCAGGTGCGGATTCCATGTGCTGATCCAGATCATGATCCACTTCCTCCTCAACGCGTAGTTCGCGCTTAAAGCGTCGCACTGCATTGCTGGGGAGGACATGCCAGACACCAACCCGCACACCATCCTCGTCCCGATCGTCATCCTTTACGGTGATATAAAAGTTTCGCGTTGCGTACAGTCCTACGCTCTCCGGCTTGGTGAGATCAAGTCCTTTGGGGTACTTAACTGAAAGGGAGGAGATACGCTTGATTAAATGGAAAATAAGAATTAAAGTTTTAAAAATTGACAGACGATTGATTCATATTCAACTGGAGAACACTTGTAAGCTATACTTTAAAATCGTCTTTAATTGTTTCTAATTAAAGTTGCATTAATATGTCAAAACTATTATATTTATTATTTTTTAAAAAAGTCTACTATTAAATAATAACTTGTGTTATGTTTTGATGACATCCTGACCAATCTGACCCTTTTGATGCTGTAGAATTAGCCTCTTGATTTATCATTTAGAGGTCTAAAATCAAATAATTTCTGTCTTTTCATATGCAATTCAGTCACTTAACATTCTAGATTACTTACTGAATGTGAGGAATAGGATCCCGCGCTGAAGCGTCACCGAGTAGCGAAATACCAGCGGCAGCACCACGAAGATTAGGAAGAAGATCAGCAGACACGCTTGCAGAGATCGCAGACCCACCCTACGAAAAATGGCAATGAGTGAAATGTGAAAGCTGAGTGGGTGACTGAGGAGGGGTGGTAATAACTCTACCTTAAACTGAGTGACATAACAACATGGAAAACAAGTGAGCTAGGGCAAGTGAGTGGGCGTGATGGATCGGAGATATATGTGATTATGTACATTGGGGAAGTAGGCAAAGCGGTTATTTACGAAAAAGCGGAAACGGAACAGAGCCGGCGATATTCGCGAAAGAAATGTCAATGTCACGATGTTCACATCAAAAATCAGAAGAATGGGTTTCAAGTTATATCTACATAAGTAGTTAAGCAAGCGCACAACATCGAATCGAGCGTGGATACTTACAGACCAGTTAGCCAACTAAGTAGGATCGTTCCGGGAATAAGTGTGGCAAAGAAAACGGATCTTAGGCAATTATGAAGCTCGTACATAGCGATTGTTTTACGTCCGTTCGGTTTATTGCTTAATTTGTATATAGCTAGCGATATATCGTTTTATCGGGAAAGCGACTTAACACTGATTGTTACTGATTTTGTGCGGAGCTTTCCCGGGCGAAAAGAGAGATAAACAAATTACTTGGTTAATTCAGATAGTTTTGTTTTGTGTTTTTTTTTAGTTAACTGGGGGATTCACCAGGCGGGACGCATGCAACACCGAACCGTGCCCGAGAACTGTTCCTCCGGAGAGAGCGACCTTTGCACCAGAGGGGTTAAACGCTGACAAAGTGGCGACTTGGGTGAGTGGTTAGGTGATCGGGTGACTACACATGTATTACGTACAAGCAGGGGGCGAACACTAGGGTGGTTCTTCTTTAATGGATGCAAAAGTAATCTCTGGATATCTGGAAATTAATATTCACTTCTTTCCATACTACTTTAAGGGTATTTTACTATATTATTGAATGAAGTTAAAAAAAAATCATATTTCGCTAAGTTTGTAAGCAACTTTTAGTTACTTTTTTCTATAAATTTGCATTTCACGTCTAATGAGCTTTTACGAATACTACGAATGTCGCTTAAACAGTAGTTTTAGTATTCAAAGATAACTCACACAAAAATTAATACCATACACCTTTAAAATATTAGTTTTGTTTTCACTAGACTTGAGTTTTGATTGCAAGAGTTCATGCGTCCGCATAAAGTCAACAGTTTTAAGTTCTCCAAAAATTACTTTCGCTTGTCCCTAAATCGCTTTCAATAAAATCGGGCCACCTTACTGGACATTGCGCACTACGATAATGATAATGGCAGTACAATAATATCAGATATGAGCGCTACTCGAACGTGACTAATATTTGGCCACTTATTCGCTTTTCTGAGGGAGTTCGGAAGCGAAAACTACGGAAGCGGATTCATCGGGTGGTCGGTATATTGGGATCGGGGGAAAACAAATATATTTATGTATATGATCACAACACACAAACACACACCTCTTAAGCTGTCGCCGGCGCGTGAAGAGCATAACTGCAAAGACTGAATAAAAGATAAAAAGTATTTATGAATCGGTCATGATAAGGAGTCAAATCAAAAGAACCGCCAAACAGTGCAAGCATGATCGGTTATCGCCGATTGCCTATCGAGCGAGCAGAATAACTCGCTTCCGGCTTACAATTTGTAATCACAATTTCTTTGTTTTAACTTTATATGTTGGATAATCGAGTTGAGCTTTGATCAACGTTTTTCCGCAAACTGATGGCTTTCAAAGTTGGCGATTTTTCTTCAGGCAGCAAATGCAATAATGCAATGCACTTGCGGCCAATTAACGAATAAATGGCAATTACTCTTACTTGAAAAGAGAGCTTCTGGTCGTCAGGTGAATGAAAGCGTAGAAACAAGATCGCAAATCTCTCTACACTAAAAGCATGATGACCTAAAAATATAGATTTATGAATATCATATTAAAAAAAATTAGTTTAGTTTGAGGGCGTGGCAGGGGGAGGCAAGCGTTGTTACAGAGCATTTCCTTGGAAAATATGAATAAATAGACGGAAAGTTAATTAAGTGAAAAACTAGGTTTGCCAACCCCTTAACCCTAAATTCCGGCTAATCTCATTAACACGTTAACACCCACAAACACCACTTTTTAATTGGTGTATCAATTTTTTATGTAATTTGTTTTCAGTTTGTTTTATATTAGGGGAAAAACACAATTTTCCGAGCCTAGCTTACCACTCACGCGCCAGCAACTTTTCGGAACGGAAAAAACTTTAAATATAGTTTATTTAGCTCTTTTTGCGAACAATTAATGGATTTGGAATATTTTCTGCCGAACAGCTGTCAATGTTGTTATTGACTATCGATTGCTGCTAGAGATAGGCAACGTGATAGCCTTTACTATCGCTCTCACGCAAACTTCCTTGATCTGCATTTTGGTGAAAGTTTGATTGTCTTAAATGGGGCTTTCATTTTGAATTAGTTACTTTACTTGGATTAATAATTAATGGTACATTCATTCCTGTTATTTTTTTTTGGCTAACATATGTGATAGGTTGTTAAAATTTGCTAATCTTTTTAATATTAGAGTTGTACACATAATATTTAAGTATCTTGGTATGATTAGAATTATAACAAAATTTTAACGTATTTACTTCATTTAACCTTTTTTGTATAAAGACTTAAAAATAAGTAGGTTTGAACTGTAACAAATTGAAAGCTGAGTGTTATTGAAAGTTTAATTGATATGGGTAATCTTTAAACTAAAAAGTTAAATTTAATTACTTCTTAATTTTTTTATAATTCTTCCCACCGACGATATATCGCTTCATCTCTTAACCGACTACCTCTACTAATCGGACATCGATAGCCCGCAGACAGTGTGGCCAGACTTCCATCCCTTGAAGTTTGTTTTTTTTTTCACGGAGCTCAGAAACAAAAGAATTTGCAATTTAGCCGAAGAGCAGACGGTGCAGATCCAGATCAGAACGGATCCGCAGGATGAGGAGCGTCGAGGAGATCAAGGCGGAGTACCCGCTGCACTGGCACATCTGGCACAACGAACTGGAGCAGCTGCAGGCGGCAGTCGACGAGGTGAAAAGAAGGGTTGGGTGCTCCAGGGGGTGGGTGTGGCCCACGGGGACAGGTGCTAATTGAATTAGCAGGGTCCGGGGAAATGGCACGGCGATAAAAACCACTGATTCCGTCACCTTGCAGAACGATAAGGAGAAAATCGATCCCCGCGGACGCACGCCCCTGATGCTGGCCGTGAGATTGGCCAATTTACCATGTGTTAAATGCCTTCTGGCGGCTAAATGCAATGCCACCTACGAGCACGAAGGCTGGTCCAGTGAGTACACCACCATCGCCCTCAGAGAACCACTATTAATTTCCCCTCTAAACCCCATCCCACCACAGTTGTCCAGGAAGCCGTGTGCACCGGCGATGTCGACATCTTGACGGCCATTATCGAGGTTCGGGATCTCCAACGTCATGTCCAGCGGGTTACGCACGTGCCCAAGCTGCTGCAGCACCTCCTGGACGCCCCCGACTTCTACATCGAGATGAAGTGGGAGTTCACCTCCTGGGTGCCCCTGATGTCGCGGCTCTGTCCCAGCGACACCTACAAGGTCTACAAGCGGGGAGCCAACGTCCGGATAGACACCACGCTGCTGGGCTTTGACAACAACACCTGGCAACGGGGCAATCGATCATACATCTTCAAGGGAGCCAGTAAGTATATTATTATCCCAAATTGAATTATTTAGTTTAATTCGTTGGTAATTATGACCTGACAATAAAGGACATCGTTTCACATCTTTAAGGTCAATTAAAATCATTTATCAAACAAAGCCAGTAGTTCGTCACTTAAATTCCTGGTAATTAACTGGATATATTCATTATTTTTTATTAAACTAATCTCCCAAATCGTATGCCGTTGCTCTTTATCTTTGTATATATATAAACCAATTAGCATTGTTTTTGTTTGTTTAGATAAGATAGAAGAATAAGGTACTTTATATTATTTTAAAGTTTACATTTTTTGTTTATTTGATGATGGTTCGATTTTTAATAAGTGTAATTTTGACATTAATTTTAAGCTCAAAGAAAAGCTACTAAAGATAACATTTATTACACTGTTTTTTGAAATTAAAACTCATTACTTTATTTTCCTTTGCAGAAGAAACTGCCACTATGATCGAAATTGATCACGACACGAACGAGGTGATGGTGGAGGAGATGAGCAGCGACATCGGCGACATTGTGGCCATTCCACCAGCCTTGGGCACTGTGAGGGCCCGTCTCAATGCCCCGGTGATCACCAACAACATCGAGATGGACAAGATTAGCTTCGAGCGCAACAAGTGTGGCATTTGGGGCTGGCGGAGCGAGAAATCGGAGGTAATCAACGGCTACAACTGCAAAGTGTATGGGGCCAGCAATGTGGAGTTCGTCACCAAGACGCGAATGGATCACCTTAGTGAGGAACAGATCAAGGTAAGTGTATTTACTTTTGTTACCCCTTCAATAGAATTTATATATTGTGAAAACTATTTCATTAGCGCTATTTAAATTAGCATTTTCATTTACTTAACAATGATCCGCTAATTGCTATCCATATAACAGTTAAAAACCCAAATACTAGTATTGGATGATATTTTAAATGTTATTATGTCGTAAATAAACGCTTTTTATACTTTATTGACTGTTGGCTCTTTTTTTATGATTTTTAGAACAAAACAGCAAGGACGCCGCTACATAGTCTGCTGGGAATTGCCGATGAGGACTATGTGTCCCCCGCTGACGCCGCTGCTGCACTCAAAGATCGCGTAGGTTTCAATAAACTAGTCCAATTCGAAGTCTCTTACATTATCTCCTTATTTTCCAGACACCATCGCCTCGTTTGGGGGAAGGTCCAATCGCAGGAGTTGAGAATGGAGGCAGAACCTCACCAGCTCCTGGAATGCAAAGCAACGGCAGCTCCGCCTGTGCCTCGGGCACCAGTACACCCAAGTCTTCCGTTACCCCGGAGGAGTATTTTACTCCGGAGGTGGATCTTCACGGAAGGGATGTCGGCGGTCCCAAGAACCTGAGCACAAAGGTGCAGCGCTTTAAGGCCAACTTGTGGCTGGCCGAGGAGCATCCCATTCGACTGCAGGAACAAGTGCTGCCCATCCTAGACCTCATGTCCACCATGGCTAGTCCACATGTGGCCAAGCTAAGGGATTTTATAACCATGCAGCTGCCAGCCGGTTTTCCCGTCAAAGTGGAAATTCCGCTCTTCCATGTCCTAAATGCCTGCATCACATTCGGAAATGTGTTTGCCTTAACTACGCCAGTGGATCACGTGGCCACGCTGCAGGAGCAGGACCGGGTTACCTGTCTGGTGGACGATCGCTGCTTTGATGTTCCGGCCCACTATACAAATAGGGGCAGTGATGTCCGCCGACAGATTCCTCTCGATGAGGATGATATGCTCCAGTATGCTATCGAGCAGAGCCTGGTGGAAACAAGCGGAGCCTGCGGCGTGGACGCCAGGGACGACGACAAGGTTGACATCTGGGAGGTGCTAAGGGGCCAAAACGTCGTGGGATCTGATCTCTTGCCCGAGGACGACGAGCAGCTACAGCGGTAAGTCTATGTCTGATAGTATGGCCCTTTCAGAGTAATTTTGCTTAAAACAGCATCTTTGTTCGTATGTCATTATATTGATAAGAACTGTTTATATCAAAGTTTCTGCAAGGGTATTTAAAGCTTCGGTTTCCGAAACTTGCCAAGATGTAGTTGTTTAACCAAAACTAACGACTCTCAATGGTATCCGCTAGTGGCCACCGCTTCTCCTCGCACTTACTGTCTCCCCACCACCAGCAGTACGGGCGGTATTCGCCCTCCCCCAAGCACCATCCCCAAACCTTTCCCCACTCGCAACTCCAGTTGGAGCCACAAACACGTGGGCGATCTGCTTCGGCGGGTGCGCAATTCAAAACCGATTTGGGCTACATGAAGAAGATATTCAAGTAGCAGTGAAAACCCACACCCCTCCTTTTGTATTGCTAGTTTTGATCCAAGCTTTGTGTGTTCTTGTGCCCTCTTCCATTATCCATTGCAGAGTTCTTCAGGAATCGCTGCTGGGCGCGCATGCGAACCTTCAAAGCGGTTCGCCCGCCTCCGAGGATGACGACGATGGAGGATTCCGGTATGTGGATCCGGATTTGGCCATGGCCATGCGACTGTCGCAGCAGGAACAGAGAAAGTTCGAACTGGAGCGGCAGCAGGAGCAGGAAATGATCGAGCAGGCGCTAAAGCTCAGTCTGCAGGAGCACTAATAGCCTACCAGCGATTCCAAATTGAAGTTCTTTTGATTTCTAGTGTAAACTTCGGACTAAGTTGTATAAATAATACGAGTACTTTAAGTTCCCCTCGCATCCTTCTCCGCCCCTGTCCTTGTTTTGAATTGTGATACAAGCGGGACACAAACGGGAAGCTGTCGCCTGGTCTCAACTCGTCCACTCGCAACCGAAGGATCCACCCTCTATATACCATGTATCCAAAGTAGTCTTCGTAGCTGTAGCTTTTGCAAATGTATCTAGTATCAGGTAGATACAGTCTTAAAATTAAGTGCGTGTGGTAACGGAAAGATAGACTCGAAGTATGTTTGCTGACTTCTGACCGGCTTACCACATGTGTGCGTGTCCTTAATCTGTATCCACTAATCAACATTAACCATAATTTATACTAATCTACACCAACTCACATCATGCCCATGTAAGCAGTCACCTTTTTGTGTAAATGAAGAATATATATGAAATAATCATCAGAAAACTTGACTTTTTATACTTGGCTTTTCAGCTTCGTTTATTAAGCATTATATACAAAATCAAAATCGATACGCAACTTATGCTAATTAAGCAAACATAGTAAAAAGTCTAAGAATTTGTTTTGGTATCTACTCAAGGTGTACAGCGTTTTTTCTTAACACTACTTCCCAAGATTTTGAGAGTGTATTTAAGAAAACGACTGATAGTCTTATAAAGCCAAGCAAAAATAGTTTACGGTCAGACAGAAGCTGTGTAATCACCATTGGCTTATCACCGGCTATAATTAGATTAAAATAGAGTATATACATGTACGTATGGGCTTGTTCTGGTTTTCACAAAAATAAATTTTGTTCGTTTTGTAATCACTTTTTCTTGTTAGTGAATCTAAAAGTAAATTATTTGCATAAAACATTGCTGGGTGTCATCATTTAAATGAGTGGTTTCCTTAATATTTTACCTAAAACATATAGTCTTAGAAAGACCAAAAAAGTTATATATTTCAACTTCAGTTTCTTTAAACTTTCAGAATTGCACTCACTCGCCTTTGGTTAAAATTATAAAACATAATTGTTAGGATATAAAAATTAATTTCGAATATTAACCGGAGCTCACCGTTAGTTATTTAGTTTAAAATTGTAAATGTAATCAATTAAAAACAATCATACACATATTTCACATTTAAAACAAATCAGGGGAAAATGGCTGATAAACGTTTCTTATTAAGTCGAGTTGTCAATGCTTTAAAATTCATTGAGTTTGTCATATCTGAGACTAACTTTAGGCTTAAAAAATAATGTGTGAAAACCAGAACACGCCTGATAAATTGTGCTTAGATCTAGGAGTCATTCAGCTGGTGATCACTTCGTTAAGGTAAGTGAAGTGGCCGCCTTTGTTGGAATAGGGGTTTTGGGAATATGTTTTACGACTAAATGTACTTGAAGCACTTCTGCTTGTCGTGCGGGATGCGGGTCTTGAAGAGAATGGAGTCCGCCCGGAATTGGGTGTTCAGCAGGGGCGTATAGCCGAACACCCGGCTAAAGAAGTTGATGCACTTGTGCCGCTCCTGGAAGTGAGTGTCGTCCTCGCTGAGGGAAACCGGACATCCCGGGCAGCGGAAGGTCCACCTGGAGGTTACTTTGACTGGCGGTTTCCTCGTTATATGAGACACAAGGAAATTCATGGCAATGTCCTCGCAGTTCATGTACTCGTCCACTTTATCCCTGATTGCCTGTGGCAGGTGGTAGGTGTACAGGTAGAGGTAGTACTTGTGAACGAACGCCGCTCCTGTCAGCACCATGCTAAGTTCGCAGCTATAGTTGGAGTTGTAGTGCCACTGTCCATTGGGATTGCCCAAGTCCCAGGCATGGTAGCGTCCTGGGAAGCCCACAACCCTATCGCGATGCTCTCGCCACACCCGGAATCCAAACAGGATTTCATCATGACGCAGGTGGGCATCATCGTCTACGGAGAGCACAGCTTCGGTTTCAATAACATCGAAAGGCAGGAATCGGTTGTTTAGCGAATTTCTAGGAGCGCGCAGCACGGCCACAGGAACTCCTATGTCCGGCCAGCGTAAGTCATCAAGTGGCGGCTTGGGAGAATTCCACACCACCACCACCTTGTGCAAGTAGGGCAGTCCATACAGTCGGCCTAATGAGTCCATCAGGACTTGCTCCCTTTCGTAAGTCAACATCACGATGGTGAACTGCTCTCGGGGGTAATTTCCACCCAGGGACTCTCCAAATTCCTTGCCCGCTCCTCCTAGTCCCTTACCTATCGGCCTGAAACCAGTGTGCGAGCCCATGAACTTGGCTTCCGATGGCAGCGCAGGATCAAAAGGCAGCTGTGGGTATAGGTAAAAGGGATCCAACCAATCGTTCCAGGCTTCTTTCGCTTGCATCCTCAGTATTGTGTAGTTCCGCCGGTAGGAGGGGCTCGGATAAGGTGGTTCTATAGGACCTAACGACTCCTCCGGTTCCGTATCCAAACCGACAGGAGGATCGGATTTTAGGGGTATAAAGGTGCTGTTAAACACACTTTGCGCTATAACAGCGGGCACTGGTCTTGGGGGAATGCCCAGGCGGTCCCTCAGACTGGCAATCACCGTATCCACGGTGGCCTGCACGGAGCTCAAGTAGCGCTCCCAGACGAGTCGCCCCTGGCGTCGCAGCAAAAGCAAATCTGCATCCTGAACTGCTCTTAGGAGAAAGTGCAGCTCCGTGATCCGAGCTTTTGGCAGGAGAAGGGCTGATCTCCGCCAATCCAGAGTCTCAGCGTAAGGCAATCGCAGTTCGTCTGCTCCGAGGATTACTGGCACGGCTCCTGAGCGCAGAGCCTCATAAATCCTAGCCAGCATCAGAGTGGAGGATACTCTGCCATTTAACGGGGGTAAAATCATTGCAAATGTGGAATCCTTAAGCAACTGCCGGCGCGAAGAGTCCGATCCACACAGCGTCCAATCGGGCAGGGAATCCCCCTCTTGTTGCTCCGTTGCTGGGATGCACTGGAACTGCAGAACAAATTGATCCTGCGTAGCGCCTTTGGCCATGTCAGCCAGGTGCTCTAGAATGAAGGCGTCCAAGGGGTTCAAACTACTTTGCTTGGGCCTGAGTTCTCCTTGGTAGCTAAGCAGATACTTCCTTCTTGCGGGCACCATTACCGCGCACTCCTGCCACACATCTCCTCCCGGGGGTCCCAAAATCGGGGGCACAATCAGATCGTATCCGGAACGGAACTGATCCCCTTCAAAAGCACTCTGCACCACAATGGCGCGCATGGTGTTCTGTTTGTAAAGGGGATTCGTCCGATGCGAGGTAAGATCCCTTCTGGCCAAGTTGAGCAGCACATGATTGCGTCCATCACCGCCCCAATAAGGCAGGCTATAAAGCTTCTCCATGTCCACGGGGCAGTCGTTAGCGTGGCTGGGTGTGGTGGGCTGTTGGTGCTCCGCCTCCTGAGCCGCATACCGGTTGTTGCGCAGGAGATCCTGCTCAAGAAGAGCCTCTCCCACCAGCACCAGATATATGCAGGCATGCTTGGGATCCTTAACTATATGGGCATTGTATCCCAAAGTCTGTTTCAGAGTGGTCTTTAGGAAACCATCGATATCGTAACCCTTTCGCTGCACACTATGCTCATCCGGATCGTACAAATAAACAGGAAATCCGGAGGTAAGACTGCAGCGGGAGTAATTAAAACAGTTGTGCATCTCGCAGCTGGCTGCCATTCCTGCAGTGATGGGATTCATCTTTCTGGGCAGCGTGTTCGGTAAAAGAGAGCGGGGCAGAGCCAAATCTGGGGTATTCCGCTGAACCGCCTCCCGCTGGGCAACCTGTGCTTGCTCCACGGATATCTTGAGGCGCTCCAGTTCCGTTTGCTCCCGCAAGAGTTCCTGTTTGAGCTCCTCGATCTTCTGGTTGTACTGACTAATGTCCGATTGCAGCTTCTGGCGACGGGATTCCAGTTCGCGCAGCTCCACGGACACGGTGCTCTGGATGAAAGGGTATTAGCTTAAGGTTCGGGTTTAACCTACTTGAATTTTCCGAGCACTCACCTTGATTCTCACCATCTCCTCGATGCGCATTTTCAGATCTCCCGCCCGCATGGCACTGAAATCCTCGTAGGCATCTAAAAGCGGTGAACTCCGATGAAGATCCAAGGGTGGGGCATCTTGCTCAGCCTGGAAAAAAGTTATTTATCAGTATATTGGATTATTATAAAAGAAATATTGATGATGAATAAATATCTTTGACATACACTGATAACGTTAGAAGATAGGCTAAGATAACACACTTGCGGTCAGAAGAATAGCACATAAAACTATAATCTGTATTGCCAATTTATTAAACAATTATTATGGAATGTTTCTTCTTAAATTAAAAACACTATTTGAGCATCTTTAAATTGGAAGTTCTGGACCTTCAAAACACCAATTTAGCAATCTTCTTTGACAAAGTAAATGATTATTTACAAAAAGATCAGAAATATAAAACTGAAAATTCTAGAATCTGGAATTCTGTTTGAGAATCCTTAAATTGGCAAATCCTTTAGACCAAAACTCTGCGATTACAGATAACAACATTTACCTATGTACTGATTTCCTTAGTACATAGGTAAATGTTGTTATCTGTAATCGCAGAGTTTTGGTCTAAAGGATTTGCCAATTTAAGCTTTTTAAAATGATTAAATTTTAAGTGTAATGCGATTCAATTAATTAAGAAACATTTGAATACTTTTACAATGTTATTCGATTAAACCATTTTACAGGAATTTGGTATCTAGTGTTATACTTAGCAACATTTGTAGGTTGCTCTTTGAGATCTGATTAAAACTATAATCGGTTTAACCATGGTATTAAAAATGTGATATAAACCGACTTCAAGAGTTGTCCTAAATTCATGACCCCTGCTGTGGTGCTGCCACCTATTGAGCTACATTCCCAACTTGAGTTCACATCCTGCTCCGAAAAGATGGATGATTCATGACACCTACGCTGAGAATGCGGTACGCCAGGCAGGATACGAGGAGCAGGAACATCAGGAGCACCGCCGGCAGTTTGTAGCGCCGGAACTGCCGCCACCAGGACGTCCGTTGTCCCATCGGGTGGCGGATTGGGGCGGTGATGGAGGTCGGTGCACAGGCGTCCTTGCCGCCGCCACTGCCGCTGTCCAGGGGGTGGTACGCCTCTCCGGAGCGGCCAAGGTCGAACGCCGGGGACATGGCATCAGCTTCAGCTCGCGATCTCACCAAAATAATACATTTATTTACACTTATTTGCGAGTTCCGTGCGTTTAGTTGGCAACGCGGGTCAGGGATGCATTTTCATTTCGAGATATCGTAAGTTATCGCACAGCGACATCTATCGGTGACTAAATGTAATCAGCTCCGCCCGCCAATTTTGAATTATCTAAATTTTTATTTCGTAAACAATTTGAAAATGTAAAATTAAAAACTAATTTAGATAAATGTTGAGAAGCATCCGTGCAATTGTTATGCGATTAGATC